ATCAATAGACTTGTCCCTGCAGACCACGTGGGAAGACAGTCTTCCGAGGGTGCTGTTTATAAACAGACTAGGTGTAAATCCCGGCTCCGGATTTGAGAAATTGGGTTGTTCAAGTCTTGCTTTAGACTGCCATGAAATGAAAGGCTAATTTCATTTATCAGAGCAAATAAGAATAATTAACACTCCTCCCCTCAAAACCAACAGAAGACATGAAAGCCTGAAAGTTTTCAAGGCAGGTTTTATTCATCTTCTGAGGAGCACTGTCCTCTCTGAATTCAGTCGGAAGCCGCACAGTATCTGCCCCAAAGCTAAGACCTGTTTTGCGGGGACAGACCCCGAGCTGCGCCTTTATGGATTCCCAAAGCATTAATTTGGGACTCAGAATGGTCCACGCATTGGAGGTGCTGTACCTCCTTCGCAGAGACTATTCTGCTGGGTATCCGGAGCTGTGCCGACTTGGTTATCCACAGCGTCACCCTGCTTCAAATGAGGACAGTAATAGTAGGGCCAGTGGGGGGACTTCCCCTGAGTGAATGGTGTTCAGGAGAAGTTTAGCAAATGAGGCGACACTTGAAATGGGGCCTTGAGGATGAAGTAGAATGTTTTCCCAGGCAAATAAAGGCTGCCAGCAGTCAGGACCAAATGCCAACTGGGAGCAAAGTTTGTCTCTCTGATTCCATTGCCCTTGGATTTTGTGAGATGTGCAGAAATGAAGAGCCATAACTCAAGTGACAACAAGGACAAGGCCTGGCTTGCTTTTCCTTCAAAAACCCATAGCCTGATTCAGGCTCCCCCACACTCTCATCTTCTGCCATGTGACCTACACCAAATTCTGCTTGGTTCTACATGGCATGGGCAACTTCCTGTCTGAGACCTGGGGTTACATAAAATGTCTTCTTCCCAATGCACATTCTTGTCCCATCTTTGGAACACAAACTCCTTATCATCCTATCTCCAGGATTATACTCTTAGAACACTGCAGATTTCATGGACCTACACTGTGAGAGAACAGGACATAAGCTAAGGGGCTCACTCACCTGAAGCAGTTGGTGAAAAAGCTGCACACGTAAAACAATCCCAGGTGAAGGCCACAAGGGGCCTCGCCCAGGAGGCTCAGAGTTCTTCTGATCCCTAGGTGATATCGATCAGTGATGGTGTCTACAAAAATTCCTATAGCAAATATGAGGTATTGCCATTAGGAGAGGGTATTTATGCCAGGTGGCACTGGAGATGACTCTTTCTCAGCCATCTCTCCTCAGTGTTTCAGACACGCCACTTACTACTATGCACAGAATTGTGGAACGGATTCCAAAACTACTTCCATTTTACAAGGCAGATGTAGGTGGCATTGCTCACTATCCAACGATGAGTAACAAAACACATGTTCCTCACTGCCCAGGGGTGGGTAGAAGGATTTCCTAGGCCAATGAGCTCTGCCCTAAGTGATGGGGAAGGAGCGGGCTGCAGGTCTGGGCGCAGGAGCCCCAGGGAGCTTTGGGAGGGTGTTTAGGATGTGGGCCCAGCTCACCTCAGTAGATGAGAAGTAGAAAGTCAACAAGAAAAAGTTGGTTCTCCTGCCTTCAGGCAGGAAATGTGGCCGGTCCAAGGGATGTTACTCCGACCTGTGAAGATGACCCCACCAGCCTTCAGGCACCTGTAACTACTGTGTCCTTTAGCACTTTCCCGCTCCTCCACCCAGGCTGCCTCTGCCCATGAGAATGCAGGGAGCGGCTGAGTCAGAGCTCTTTACTGGCCTTTCTGAAGGCGCAGCAAGCCAGAGCAGAGCTGGTGGTT